GAGGCTCGCTCTTCGGCTATCTCCAATGATACGGTCTGCCCCGCTTTCGATCCGGAAAAGGCCATTGGGATTATGTCTACTGTGGAGCTGCGGGCCACATCGCATCGCAGTGTCCAGCAAAAGCCAGCCCGTAAGTAGTTTCGAGGTTACTAAGGAGAAATCCTCCTTATCTCCTCCCAGTCAGACTTCAATGGGCTGCTTCTCATCACAACTGTCAAGCGCTTCCATCAGACACTCATTCCACCGGCCCGGTGAGTCTCAACACTTCAGGCAACCACATTAAAGAGATCTATTTCATGTTAACTGACTCCCCATTGCTCCATCAATCCTTGGACATCCCTTGCTTACCCTCCATAACCCACACATCAACTGACGTCAGAGCAATGTCTTGTCTTGGAGTGATCATTGTCATGCCTCTTGCTTGGTGTCTGCGTGTTCTTCTGTGTCTTGTTCTGTGTTACAGGATGAATCTGCCGACCTGTCCAACGTGCCGGAGGAGTACCTTGACCTGAAGGAAGTGTTAGAAAGTCTCGAGCTGCTTCTCTCCCCCCTCATCGTCCCTATGACTGTGCTATAGACTTGTTACCAGGTACGTCTCCGCCTAAAGGCAGGTTATATTCACTTTCTGCTCCAAAAAGGGAGGCCATAGAGAAATATATTTCTGATTCTCTGGCAGCCAAACCCATCCGTCCTTCCTCTTCTCCTGTAGGTGAGGGTTGTTGTTTTTTCATGGAAAAGAAAGATGGTTCCCTGTGTCCTTGTATTGACTATCAATGTTGTAGGAAGCTTGCTTTTTCACGTTTGGCATAAGTGACGGCTGTGGTTTGCTATAACGGGCCACATCGGCGAATGTTGTAACAAGACAAAACCCCCCATTAGGCTTTTTGATAAGAAACCAATGGGCTGACATATTCAACATCGACGTCAATGTCTTCGGGCTTTCGAAAAACACCTAGCGATTCTAGCACGTCGAATTGAGCCTGCATTTCCTGTACCTGGTCCCTGGATTACTTCGGAACTCTTCCAAGTTGGACCTTCGCAACGTGGTCCGTGTCAGGGAGGGGGATGAGTAGAAGACTGCTTTCAATACCCCCAGGGGGCACTTTGAATATCTGGTTATGCCGCTTGGGCTATCCAATGCTCCCACAGTCTTTCAGGCACTCGTCAATGACGAGATATGGTCGATCAGTTCATTTATGTCTTCCTGGATGATATATTGATATTTTCTCATTCTCTCCAGGAACATGTTCAGCATGTCAGATGAGTGCTTCAGAGGCTGTTAGAGAATGGGCTTTTGTCAAGGCGGAGAAATGCATTTTTTTTCATGCATAGTCTGTTCCCTTTTTAGGATACATCGTCCCGTCTGAGGGAGTGCGCAAGGATCCCGATAAGATTCAGGCTGTGGTGGATTGGCCAATCCCAGACTCCCGCAAGGCCACGCAGAGGTTTCTGGGCTTTGTCAATTTTTACCGGCATTTTATTTGCAATTACCTTCTGACCGCCTTGACCTCCACCAAGACGACGTTCAGGTGATCTAAAGTAGCCGATGCTGCTTTTTCCAACCTCAAGAGCTGCTTTGTTTCAGCTCCCATTCTTATTGTCCCTGATTTCTCTCGTCAGTTTTTGGTGGAGGTCGATGCGTTAGAGATGGAGGTTGGTGCGGTTCTTTCCCAGCGTTCTTCCGCGGACTACAAGATGCATCTGTGCACGATTTTTTCTCATCGTTTGTCTCCCAGAACAGTATGTTCAAAACTCAGCAGCAAGAGTTCTCACCTCCACCAGGCGTTCTGCTCACATTACTCCTCTGCTTCATGACCTTCACTGGCTACCCGTGGCATCACGTATTCGCTTTAAGGTGTTACTTCTAACGATTAAGACAATAAATGGTCTTGCACCTCCATATCTGTCTGATCTACTTTACTCTTACTGCCCTGCCCTGCCCAGTCCCTTAGATCAGCTGAACTTGGTTTATTGTCCATCCCTCGTTTCCGGTTGTCTACTGTAAGTGGAAGGTCATTTAGTGTTGAATTAATGCTCCTAAATTATGGAATTCACTACCCCTTACACTTCGTAATATCTCATCTGTGGCTAAATTCAAAACTCAGCTAAAAACATATCTATTTAACATGTATTTTGGTTAATGAGACTATATGTGTCCTTATTGGACTATATGTGTTACTAATGTGATTGTAATGTGTGTGTAGGTGAGTAAATGTATTTTAATGCACAATGTAAAGCGACCTTGAGCTACGGAAAGGCGCTATATAAATAAAACTTCTTCTTCTTCTTAGCGCTGAACGCAATTACGACATTGGTAATAAAGAGTTACTGGCCATCAAGCTTGCTTTGGAGAAGTGGTGCCATTGGTTGGAAGGCTCGGGGTGCCTTTCGTCGTCTGGACTGATAAGCTCAAGCATGCTGACCTTTTTTGAACATCCATGTCATCATCGGTAAAACCACTGAATGGTGAAGTCTCGTCTTCTTTTCCCAGTGCACGCCGTCAACTATAGAAAGGGAGTGAACTCATTGTCCAAAGATAAGTGTAGACAAGGTTCTGACACCAGTTCTCGAACTTTTGTGAGACACCATTGCTTCGGTGCTCTGTGTGTATTCGCCAAGGCTTAAGTCTCGAGTTTCGTCAGCGGAGATAATTCACAACACGGCTCGTTTATGCACGACTATAGTGTGAACTGATCTCACATGAGCTCATCTCACGTTCTCTTTGGGAAGTGAATACGATAACACTGCCACCATGCCAGTGTGTAGAGGAGGTACAATGAATCGCTGACACGAGAGAATAGTTTAGTCAAACCTTTAATGGTGACCACATACCCAACAACAAGCTGTAGCACACGTGCATCCTCCGCCCTGGTCAGCGGCTCCACGTTCAATTTCAAGAACCACTTCACGATCCATGTCACACTCCACATACTGGAGGAAAGTAGAACTGAAATGTTTTATTGTTTTAGTTATGATTATATTATTATTGAGGATTTTGCTGTGTACTCATAAAATGTAACCTGCATTATGTGTTTTTCTTTATTATATAATTTATTTAAATTGTCTTGATCTTTATTTAACTATAACACACACTAAGAAACGTGATATTTAACACATGAGTTTTGTTGTGGTCTTGATCATACCAGCATCCAAAAGACAACATAATGCTGGCGGCTGGCCCACCAGCATTACAAGGTGTTCTCAGAATGCAAAAATACCTTAAGCTGGTCCACCAGCACACCCGCTTCCCATACTGTAACCAGCATCCCATGGCAGCATGCAAAACATACCTTATGCCGGAGACCAGTAATGCTGGATTTTTCAGCAGGGTTTGTTATTATTTTTGCCTCTTTTGTTATAATGGTCTATCCTACAATTTTCAACTATGCACCACCACTGTCAAATCAACCATACAAATCATGCAAATGGTCGAAAATGGCTTTATGCCAGCATTATGTCTCCTCATTTGACAGAGACTGAATGCTGCCCTCTTGTGTAAGTTTTCTGTGATTTTCAGTCTGGATGTGTGACAGTAAAACTCATCTTTAGATGGTAAAGTTACAAAATATTAACGTAACGTGGTCAGTCAATGTAGGCTAATGTATAGGTGGGTCTTACTTTACCAGGCAAAGTGTAAATCTGCACAAACACAAGCTATGGCATCCGTGACAAACAAAACGCAGCTGTGCATTATAACCGATGTTACTCCCTGGTGAGTTTATTTTTTCAGTCTTTATCTCCATAAATGTTTATCGGGGTAACACGATTCGAACCGGTTCGAAAGAATTGTTTTGCGCTGGAAATGAATCAAGCTTAATCAGAGTAAACAGTATAGGCTACCCCTGCACACCATGAGATTTTCAGTCATGAGAAACTTCGTGGGTGAATTCACTGGAATAGTGTGTGGAGGATATTAACGCAATCGATTTATTTACATGATCTCAGAATTTTGGATGGGAAAACCCCCCAAGACCAAGAGACACTTTTAATGGGCGGTTTTGTTTTTAATTATGTTTACATTTCCACAGAACTCTGGCTAGAGAAACAATTCTACTTCATCTCTGTTGGGGAATGATCTGTAACCCTGCCAGGGTTAAAAGGTGATCGTTTAGAATCATATTGTTAAAAAAGATGTGTATTTTGAATAAATGCTGTTCTTTTAAACTTTTTATTAGTAGAACAACCGTTTCCAACATTGATAATAACTGAGTATCAAATCAGCATATTGGAATGATTTCTGAAGGATCATGTGAAACTGAAGACTGGAGTAATGATGGTGAAAGTTCAGCTTTACATCACAGAAATAAATGATATTTTAAATTATATAATAAAGTATATTCAATAAAAAAGCATTATTTTAAATTGTAATAATATTTTACAACATTTACTTTTTTTTTTTATAAAATAAATGCAGGCCTGATGAGCGTAAGATACTTCTTTCAAAAACAAACTTTTGACCGGTATACTGTATATATCCTAAAACTCATTCAGTCAAAACCATTCTCTTATAAAGCCTAGTAAAAGAAGCATCATAATTCCAGCCTTTATGCATAGTGCTAGGCCTACATCTGAATAAATAGAGCTATGCCAGGTTCAATCAAAGACCAGGCACACTTTAAGTTTACCAGTGTACATAGACACAGGCAGAGTTGCACGCACGTTCGTATTCTCAAGCTTTTCGAAGTTTGCTGTCTGCCTATTGTTGTTTTATGCAAAAAGTCAGAGTCTGGATAGGACACACGAGGGCCTTATGCAAATGACGTGTCTATCGGCTGGTGTGGGATACTGGAGAGGTGAATGCTCTTCTACTAACCCACTTTGCTAAATGTGTTTCTCTGAACCTTTTTGAGAAAGGTACACTCAGTTCACCTGAGAAAAGCACCACAGAAGCAGGGATTTAATCTACAGAGCCTGGATCAGTGGATCTTTGCTTTTATAAGGTAAGTAAGTGTAGATGTACTTCTCAAAGTTTTTATAGAAATGCTTTATTTCCCAGATTCCTGCTTACTTCTCAAGTGGAGACCGTTTTGTGGAATCATATTGTTTTGCATTGTACCTGTTCACAGCTCTAGATATTGACAGATTTAAATGTTTTTGACTAGAAGAGATTAGGGTGGAGAGACAGAGTGATTGTGGTGAATGGTGAATGGGGATACCCTTGCTCTTATGAATATTACAACAAGCCCTTTACATAAAGGAGAAAGCTGGACACATTAGAATAAACCTCAAGATCATTTTACTGGCTGGGCCCGGGCATGAATTGCCTCAGTGTCTGCATAAAGTTGTGATCCTGTAGGAAAATCAGCTGTATTTATCATTACAGATATTAAGATGAGCACAGAGGCTGTTGAACAGACAGAATCTCAGCATGAACCAGCTGGTAAGGAGCCTTTTCACTCTCTGGAATATTGTCAATTGCCTTGAAATGGAACAATTACCTCTTAACCAATGTATGGTGACATTTGAATGTAAATAACATGGAAATATAAGTCAATAAATTATACGCCAATTATATTGTTTTAGTTTACACTATTTAGAGTTGTAAAATAACATAATGTGTGGCACGAAACAATTTAAGTGAGTTTACAATATTTAAAAACTATTTTTTTATTTATTAAAAAAATGACATAAACGTACATTTGAAAATATGCTGTGCTACATTACAAAACATATTTGATTATTTTCTTAAATATTTAAAATAATTCCACTGCTTTTATGTCCAAATGTGATTTTATTTTGGGTATTTTCTCACAAATTGTCTACTTTCCAGTTATTAGCCTTTATTATCTGTTTTAATGTTAAATGGTTAAACACAGTGTTTGTGATTCACCTTTAAATGAGGATCATAATTTCACGAACTGCCATCGGGCTTCTTTACAATAACCGTTTGTGGTTATGACCAAAAGTTTAACTCTTTGTGTTGATGGGACACTGGTCACGCTCTCAGGCAAGTTTGTACAAATGGCTTAGTTTGTGCCAAACTTAGAAGTCATTTTTATGTTCTATACATTTTCTTTTTACTTTTTATTTGTCACCCCATAAATTGTGAATGTACTTAAAAAAGGCATTCTTATGTATTGTTGAATACAGAGTACAGAGTGCGTAAGGCGTCTAGGTGTGTGATGCGTGCAGGCTGATGGATGTGAAGTGTACCAGGATGTGTGTGGCGGTTTGTTTGCAGTGAAGCGCTCATATAGCCTCAGGCACTACTGAATCTTGGTCTGGTTACAATGGCTTCTGTACGGAACCATCTCGCTCAATTGAGGAACCTGAGAGAAATGAGAATTCAGAGAGAGCAGTGTGTTGTCCATCATTGTTAAATATATATTTCAATTATGTTCCATCACCTCTGTGGTGTGAAATGTTTGGATATGGATTAGGGTTCAGGTTAGACCTATCAGATGTCCCATCAGGTCATTTGATACCTACAAATATTTGGATTGTACAAAAGAAATGTTGTATGTTTACAAACACCTTTATATGAGCCTACATGAAAACTAGTGAAAGTATATCTAAATTTAAAAAAATTCCACTGTATTGTAGTAAGGACATTTTCTTGTTTTGGACTTGTACAATTGCTATTAAATATCATCACAGTTTATGTGCAAACACGTATGACTGACTATAACCATTCTGACTTTAAAATCAGGGATTTTAACGAAATATAATGCAATCAAAATGGAGGAAATGGGTCACGACAGGTTTTATAATCATAATAATGTGTGTGTGTGTGTGTGTGTGAGAGAGAGAGAGAGAGGGGAGGGGTGGGGGGAAAGAAATGCACCTGGAGGTCTGTAAGTATTCAAATGTGAAGGCCTCTAAAAGTTGCCATGGAAACTCATTTGCATGATCTGATGATTTCCATACTGGAAGTTTGGCTCAGGAGAAGGGTATATTTCCATATTGTGGAGTGAGTGAGTGCCGTTCTAACCACGGCCTCATAGAGATAGATTTGAATTTCAAATGAAGAGAGATTACCTTGTATTGACGACCTTTGAACCGCCGACTAACCCTCCTCGCTCAGTTTAATGGAACATTTGGGAGTTTGTTTTTATGGTATGGTCCATTATAAGTCTTACTATGAAAACCCCTTGAAATAAATAATGATACAAGTTTAAATGAAAACTAAAATGTTTTGTAACATTATCTGGATCCCTCGGGTGGGAGACAGTCTGAATGTTTATGCATAACTCTTACTTTAATACTTTAATCTTTTTTTGTTTTCCAGACATTGAACAAAATGGCATTGACTTCAGCAGACAAGTAAGTACAAACTTTGCTTTACTTAATATTCATCATGTGAAAACGTACTGTTTTTGGTATTCCGAGCAGCGCATTGCTCCTCTCATGAGGTGAAACTCTTTGGTAGTTCAAGTGGAAACGGATTGAAAGGCTACAAAAGTTTTCTAGTGTTGCACTACGTGAGACGTTTGAGTCATTATGAATAAGCTTCATTAGTTCTTCAGATCAGCCTGTCATATGATCTAGTGGTGAGGACAGAAAACTTTCGTGCACAGGAACTAGCTTCAGGCTTCTGAGGGCATTTGCATACTGCGCCTGCGGGAAGGGAAGGAATGTTTGTTAAAGGCCCTTTGCAGAACGAGTCCTGCAGCCTTACTGGTCTCTGAGTACACACAAAGAGTGCATGTACACACACACAAACACACATGCCTGAGGACCCTGAGCACGACAGTGAACAACTACATATCTTGAAATGTTCACCAGGTTTGGGTTATCTAACAAATTATTTGTTTCACCTACAGATAAAGACTGAGAACCTGAACGATTCCCCTCATTCTGGTTCGTCACACAAGACATGCCACTTAACTCAGGGATCGCCGGTGCCTGGTGGCCAGCTTACTGGGGTACGTCTTTATCAACACCGTCAATGAGAGCTCATGCACACACACACACACACTTATGTTTTGTATTAAGAAATTCAAGCCTATTTAGATCATTAGGCCTTTTGGCATTGTTACTTTTTTAATAACAAGATTAAAAAGATAGTTCACCCCAAAATGAAAATTCTGTCATCATTTACTCTGCCTCAAGTTGTTCCAAACCTGCTGAACACAAAAGAAGATATTTTGAAGACTATGGGTAACCAAACAGTTGATGGACCCCATTGACTTCCATAGTATAGAAAGAAATACTAAGGAAGTCAATGGGGTCCATCAACTGTTTGGTTACCGACATTCTTCAAAATATCTTCTTTTGTGTTCTGCAGGTTTGGAACAACTTGAGGCAGAGTAAATGATGACAGAATTTTCATTTTGGGGTGAACTATCACCTTAAGCACCGATTAAGCATTGATTTCAGTCCCAATTCTCATAACTGCAAAAAAATGTCATTACTGTAATGTGAGAAAAATCTATATATTAAATATTTATTTTATTATTCAAGTATTTATGAGGAAAAAACAAATACATTAAATATTTATTATTTATTTTATTATTTAAGTATTTATAAATCACGGAAGCATTTGTTAAATGCCTTTAATTTATAATGACTTATTATAACCATTTTTTATATAATACAGTAAAAGATAATCTAGTTAGAATCGCCACTGAAAATAATGTAAATTGACAAAAAATAAGGGGAAAGCATTATGGTAATGACATTTTTGAGAAATGTCTGCTTAAAGAGATAGTTTACCCAAAAATAAAAATTCTGTCATCATTTACTCACCCTCAAGCTGTTCCAAACCTGTATTAGTTTCTTTTCTGTTGAACATAAAAGAAGATATTTTGAAGAATGTGTGTAACCAAACAATTGATGGTAGAAGTTTTTTTTTTTATAACCTCATACAGGTTTGGAACAACTGGGTGAGTAAATGATTTTCATTTTCAGGTGAACTTTCCCTTTATACTGTCTTACAAATTATTTCTTAATTCAAAATATCTTAATAGACTTTACGCAAAATATTTTTCTTATTTTTTCTTCTTGGATGCAATGTGACCTGAAAATGTTTTGTGTGATTTAATGCTCGGAAGTTCACACAAAGTGTAATTGTGGTAAAACATAAGGCATGCATGTAATGGCTGGGGATTGGTGTTTTTAGGAGCTGCCCTCCCTGCACTCACTGCCCCAGCTCGTCCTGATGCCTGGATCTCATCTGTCCTCTCCGTCATCATTTCTCCTCTCACAGGCCCAATCAGGACACCAAGGTCAGTGGATGTACTGGATCATATTAGGGATGATGTTGCTCTCTGAGAAAGTTATTTATGTTTGACTTAACTACAGTACATACATGTTTAAATGCTGTTTCCTCCAGCACTGCTGCAGCCCAATCTGCTTTCCTTGCCATCCCAGTCCCAGACAGGACTCTTACCACACCAGCCAGGCCTCGCACTCACTCCTCAGGTACATCAGAACCTAATGTTGAATTATTTCTTGAAATTAATTAATTAACTAATTAATGTAAAAGTGTTTAAAAACAAACAAACACCAGAAACACTTTACAATAAGGTTTCATTTGTTAACATTAGTTAACATGAACAAACAAAGAACAATAATTTTACAGCATTTATTAATCTTAGTTAATGTTATTCTCAACATTGACCAATACATTTGTAAGATCAAACGTTGTATCTGTTAACATTAGTTCATGAACTGTGACCTCACATGAAGATAAACATTTGTACTAACATTAGGAAAGGTTTATAAATGCAGTAAAAACATATTGCTCAATGTTAAATTATGTTAGTTAAAGCGTTAGTTCACCCAGAAATAAAAATTCTCTCATTAATTACTCTCCCTCATGTCGTTCCAAACCAGTAAGTCTTTTGTTCAACTCCAGAACACAAATGAAGATGTTTTTGATGAAATCTGAGAGCTTTCTGTCCCTCCATTGACAGCTACACAACTACCAAAAGGTAGTGAAGACATTACAGTAATCCATGTGACTCCAGTGGTTTTACCACAATTTTATGAAGTGATGCGAGTGCTTTGTTTCACAACAACAACATAATGTACCACTTTTTTTTACAAAATATGAATCACCGGCGCGCATTCAGGCAACAGCGTCTGCTCTTGCGTCAACATATCGCGTACATCGATACGAGATTAATATTTTGTAAATAAAATGGTAAATTATGTTTGTTTTTGTTTTTTTGCGCAAACAAAGCACCTGCGCCGCTTCATACAATTGAGGTTAAACCACTGGAGTCACATGGACTACTTTAAAGATGTCTTTACTACCTTTCTGGGGCTTGAAAGTGGTAGTTGTGTAGCTGTCAATGGAGGGACAGAAAGCTCTCAGATTTCATCAAAAAGATCTTCATTTGTGTTCTGAGGATGAATTAAAGTCTTACGGGTTTGGAACGACATGAGGGTGAGTAAACCCTTTAATGCATTAACTAACATTAACAGATGAGAACTTATTGTAAAGTGTAACCAAAACACCTGTTTATTCTTCACTGTTACTATTTTACATTTATTAAATAAGTCATCAACACTATGAAAGAACTGAAAGTATGGGAATTATATAGTGACCAAGAAATGGTCAAAACTATCTTAAATTTTTTTCACCCTTTGTCTTGTTTATAGCTTTGCTCCCTTTTTCCTTTTTAATTTTCTTTATATGAAGAAACATACATTTGGGCAAATGCCTCTAAACCTTTGATTGTATATATCCATTGGTTCATATATTGGTTATTATATTCATCTACCATGATATTTAAATTTTAAACCTATTAACTGTCACTCCCCTCATCATAGATGTAAAAATGCACATCCAAACTTGTAATTCATAAATACTTTGGAATACAGAGCTAAGGTCTCTTTTTCAAGGTCTCTTTTTTAAAGAAGACACGCAGCAGATTATTTATATATTTTACAAAACAATTTGGACTCTAAAACTGCTAGAAAACCAAAGCCATGTGTCTAACCAAGTTTTTGTTTCCCAATTTGAAGTTGATATCATAAAATGGAGGTTACTGGGACCTTTTTTAAAAACATTTCTGTCACAATGTCACTTCTATCACAAAACAATGGCCAAATATGGAACCTTGAGTCTCGGACCTTTCCAACGATATGTTTTTTTATCAAGTTTAGAAACAGATTTGATAATGCAGTAAATTTTGAAACATGACACCATTAACTAGGGGGAGGATCCTGCTAAAAGGTTTTAAAGTACTGTTTCCATCTTAACGCGATGTCCAATTTCATAACAGTTTTCACAGGATGATTTTTTTAAGCTTCCGAATGATCATTTATGATGATTTCTAAAATATGTGATAGAAAAAAGAAAAAAAAAAGAAAAAAAGCATGGCAAGTGTTCCATTACCAGGACACTGACATTTAACAGTGGTACTGTAAGGTCTTTCAATGAATTTCCATCATGGTAGTGAGAAAAACATGGCATATTGCCATAGACTATTACTGTAAGGGTACTTTTTTAAGGGCATGAGAAAGGGAAAACACTAAAACACACCAAAACAATAATACAAATAGCATGTAAGCAAACAAAGGTGCTAACAACTGATTACCTTGACTCTAACAGCTTTATTTTCTCCTAAGGCAATGGGCAGGACAGGGCTTGCTGGCTCCTCTATGGATGGACACCTGGACATGTCTCACTTACAGGTCCCTAAACATGTGGGATCACCACAAGATGAGCCTAATGACCTGGAGGAGCTGGAGCAGTTTGCTAAAGCCTTCAAACAAAGACGCATTAAACTAGGCTTTACTCAGGTAAGACTTTGTGCCTGGTTTTATAACTGTTTTAGATGTATATTTTATGGTATTGAACAGACTGTATGTTACCGATCCTACTCGACCCCCTCCGAGGGGTCTCCGGCGTTGGAGGCGGGTGCTCTAAAAAGGGCGCTAAAGACAGCAGCCTCTAGCATCAGTCGCTAGTGCGCTTCTTGAGATCAGGGGAGTGAGGTTTACACGCACAGCCACAGCTCTTACTGGCCTACGACAGTTACACGCACTCTCCTAAACCTCACTAACATCCGGGTCACGGCACCAATTGTAACCGATCCTACTCGACCTGCTCCGAGCGGGATTCGAACAGGAGTCTCCGGCGTGGGAGGTGGCCACGCTAACAAGGACGCTAAAGACAGAAGCCACTAGCGTAAGTCGCTAGTGCGCTTCTTGAGATCAGGGGGGTGAGGTTTACACGCACAGCTCTTACTGGCCTATGACAGTTACACTCGCTCTCCTAAACCTCACTAACATACGGGTCACGGCACCAATTGCAACCGATCCCACTCAACCTGCTCCGAGCGGGATTCGAACAGGGGTCTCCAGCGTGGGAGGTGGCAGCGCTAACAAGGGCGCTAAAGACCGCAGCAGCCGCTAGAATCAGTCTCTAGTGGGCCTACGTCCGTTACATAATACATTATAAATATCATCAACTTCCGTTGAGTTTGGAAAATTCTTTACACAGTAGCCTATCAGAATATCTCTTCTCCTGTCTCCAGATTTTTAAATATTCTTGCAGACGCTCATTTTAAGTGGTTTTTAGTCAACTGGGTGACTAGAGCACATTGCAAATATACATAACTGGAAATTAATGAATCGTACTATTTCAAAGCGGAAGTGCATCACGAAGCTCAGTGCAAGTAGTCCATCCCAGAAGCGAGAGACACAGATTGTGCTTGAAGCCGCTAAATTCTCATCAGATTGCATAATTAATAGAAAAAGAATAGAAACAACAATTCTATCTGAAGACATATTAAGTAAACGTGTGAATATATCAATATTTCTCCCTAATGGACATTGTTTAGTGATCACACATAAACAGGAGTGAACGCGATTGAATACGTACAGATATTATATTCAAAATATCAATAACTACCAATTGATATTGCATAATTTTGCAATCCTGACAAAAATGAGGATATTGCTGTCATTGTAACCAGGTTTTATCATAAACAGTGGGCAAATATTGAAGCTATTCTGATTCAGTTTCTCAAGCTCAAATAAGAATGCTTTGTGTTTACATGTCAGTGAATAAACAAGCGTACTTAGTCAACATTTATGTATTTTTGTTTTGTCGGACTAATGAAATTCACATATATTGTGACAGTGTCGTTTTTATTATTATTATTATTATTAGTAGTATTTTATTATTGCAATTTTGCATATTTCTTTCCCTGTCATTTCAATTGTCTTTTCCATTTAACTTCATGTGGGTGTATCCAGTCAAATTTAAATGGAAAAGGAGCCAATTTTAAATAGGCTACTCAATGTTGTTGCCCGACCCTTTGTGGATCTCATCCAGTTCTCAAACTCTCCTGTGATGTGTTTGCAGGGTGACGTAGGTCTAGCCATGGGAAAGCTGTATGGAAATGACTTCAGTCAGACCACCATCTCACGCTTCGAGGCTCTCAATCTTAGCTTCAAAAACATGTGCAAGCTCAAGCCCTTGCTAGAGAAGTGGCTGAGTGATGCAGGTATGTGCTGCTACTGCCCTCTAGTGCACAGAACTTCATATTTTTTTCTGTTAGCATCAGTAGGTATTTGTTTTGCGGACTGTACTCAAATACCTGCAATATTAAACCTTCCCTTCACATCACCTCAGAGAACTCGCCATCCGACACCATGACCAACCCCACCACCCTACCACCCCTTTTGGAGGGTTACGGGAGGAAGAGGAAAAAGAGAACAAGCATTGAAACTAACATCAAGCTCACACTTGAGAAACGCTTTTTAGATGTGAGTTTGCCGTTTTGACTCCTTTTTTGATGCTTCAGGCCCTTATATGAACATAATTTGAGAGGATTTCTCATTGTAGGGAGCATGACAGAAGAATATTTTGGTCCATACAGAGTTTGCCATAGAGAGAACAACAGTTTACGATAAGGTCTAACCCATAACTAACAATGAGCAACACATTTGTTACAGTGTTTGTTAATATTTTTAAACATTAGTTAATAAAAATACAACTGTTCAATGTTAGTTCATGTTTTCTCATGTCCATTAAATATTATTAACATTTTTTCCAGTATTTCAATGTTTAGAAGTATTATGCTGACAAAGGCTGCATTTATTTGAATAATACAGTAAAAATGGTAATATTGTGAAATATTATTCCAATTTTAAGTAACTATTTTCTATTTTAATATGTCATTTATTCCTGTGATGGCAAAGCCGAACATTACTCCAGTATTTAGTGTCACGTGATCCTTCAGAAATCATTCTTATATGCTGATTTGCTGCTCAGTTGTTATTATTGGTGCTCAGTTATTAATAATTGTTCTTATAATTGTCAATGTTGCTGTTGATATTTAAGTGGAAACCATGACACATTTTTAAGGATTATTTAATGAATAAGAAGCTCAAAAGAACACCATTTTTTTTATAGAAATATATAAAAACATCTTAATTATTCCAAACTTTTGACCGGTAGTGTAAATGTTGAAATTAACATTAACTAAGATTAATAAATATATTCTTTATTGTTAGTTTACGTTTACTAATATAGTCAACTAATGTTAACAAATTGAACCTTATTGCAAAGTGTTACAATTGATTTATCATTTACAGTAATATATTATAATTTTGTAGCATTTGCAATTATTAATTATTATTATAATGAAGTCAACTGTGTGTTGTGGAGGTTTAATCCTAAATTAACCCAAGATTTAGAGAACTATAAGATGTCACTACTTGCTGAAGACAGTCCCCAACCTGCTCCTGGTAAACTGTACTTTCTGATGTAGTGTAACAGGTCCTTTTCAGAAATGACAACATGTATCAGTTTTCTTTCAGTGCCACCTGCAGGCTGTGATACATAAACACACTTTATTCCCTATATCTAGAACCCAAAACCCAACTCTGAAGAGATTACGCACATCTCAGAGCAGCTAGCCATGGAGAAGGAAGTAGTGCGGGTTTGGTTCTGCAACCGGCGGCAGAAAGAGAAGAGGATATACTGCCCCCTTTCCACTTCACCCATGAAGTCTCACAACTACAACCCTCGTCTGGTGAGTCTGAGAAATCATTATTGAATGAGATGGGGGTCTGTCTGCTACCTCTAGTAATGGAAGGAGGAAATTATTAACAGTCCAGTTAAGCTCCCCCTGAAACTTTGCAAAATGGTAGTGAGCATGATTCATAATGCACATGTGTGTTTCTTAGACACACCCAGTCATAAAAGTACAACCTGAATGGTGACCATCAAGTTTTATTACTAATAATCTCTGGTTCAACATGGATAGAGCCACATAGAGCAGATCTTGTTTCGAATAGAAGAAAAGGACGTTTCTTCTATTCTATTCTATTCTATTCTATTCTATTCTATTCTATTCTATTCTATTACCGTCACGAGTATGTTAGTTTCTTTGTGTTTTGGTTTGGTTCTGTTCCTGTTTGCTTGTGTTCCTGATCCTTGTTAGTTTCTATGGTTACTGATTATGTTACGCACCTGTCTCTACTTCTGTTGATTATCCTCCTTGTGTATTTAAGCCGTGAGTTTTCTTTAGTCCCTTGTCTAGTGTTAACGTTATGTTATAGTGTGTAGTGCTTCTTGGTTTCTCCCTGGGATTACTACTGCTAACAGATAACAATTTCATAATATTCAATACAATTTTATAATATATAATATGTTACTGTATATTATATTATACCTTTCCGTGGTTTGGGGTCAGTACGATTGTTTAATGTAGAAATGAATACTTTAATTCAGCAAGGATGCATCAAATTGATCAAAAGTGAAATTAAATTTCTTAAAATGTAACATTATATGTTGTACAAAATATTAAGCAGCAAAACCATTTTTAACTGTGAAAATAATAATAAAAGAATAATAGTTGAATGTTACTTGAGCAACAGATCAGCATAGAATGATTTCTGAAGGATCACGTGAAACTGGCTGCTGAAAATTCACCTTTGTCATCACAGGATTAAATTACATTTTAAAACATATTAAAATAGAACATAGTTGAATTGTAATAATATTTCACAAAATTACTGTTTTGACTGTGTATAAATGCAGAAAATAATCGAAAACATTAAACCACCGTAAGGTTGACCCCAGACTTTTGAACGGTCATGTATTTTTTATCTCTACATAAAGAAATGGAACAAATGGATAGCCACGATATGTTATAATAAACTTTAAATTAATAATTAATTATGTTGGAATGTTTATAACTTTATCTTCCTCCCCAAACTGTGTGTGTTTTAGAGGGTTTGTGATTAAAGGGATGTATGTTGTTCCTTAAAAAAATGTTCTCCACCTTGTTTCCCACTAATTTGATTCATTTCCTGTTTCAGCCTTCAACTTCACGCTCATTCAGTCCACTCGCCTCTGGAGGTGGTGAGTATAGAGCTGGTGGGATGACAAACCACGCTATTGCCATTGTTGGAAAATGTATTTATAATTTATAACCTTAATGTGTTTTCTGATGTTATAACACATTTTTCTTGCAGTGTCATCAAGCTCCTCCCCCAACAGCCCCAGTCGAGGCTCTTCCCCCAGCGCTCTGTCCACCACATCCAGTCCACTGATGGCACAGGGGGTCAACCAGACGTTCAACACACCAGGGTATAACCACATCAAATACCATCCCTTAAGTTACTTCACACATGCAGCCATCTTATGTGTAAAGAGACCAAATGATGCTATTTTACAAGGTCGTTGTTTTGTTTATTGGAAATAGTAGAATAAGTTAACATGCTTTAATGTTAAAAAATATATATATTTTTCATATACTGTACATTTTTGCCGAAACTCTCTCGGAAAGGCTCTGATTGAATTCCAGTTTCTTCAAAGCCACTCCTTCTGAAAGCCCAGAGTACTCTGATTGGCCAGCTGACCCAGTGCATTGTGTTTGGCCAAACACTTGAACCGTGTGTCTGAAATGTAACGCCCCTTCCCATAATATCAAGCTTCAGCTTCTAATGACACATTGTATGATTTTGGGCTGTCCCAGATGAAAGATGACCAATTGTGGTGATTTCAGTGATAGTGGCTCCTAAACGGTGGTCCTACGTCGAACAGTGAAAGAGGTTCAAAGACGGCCGTTGTCACGCTCTTGCGACCAAAGATAGCTTGCGATAATTTTCTGACAGTGTCAGAAATTTTGTATGATCATCTCACAGTGTGTTTGCTTCTACGACCTACGTCTAGTGACTATCCAATAAAAATGCAACATGAAATGGCACATTGACAGACATACCAAGTCTCCCGGAAGTTCCGGGAGTCTCCCGCGTATTGATAGCGTCTCCCTGATGCCCGCGAATTAGTTCAAATCTCCCGGAATCTAGAGCGCGCATGCGAGACAGAACATACTGCGCGCATAACATAACTAGTGCGCGCACGGCAGAGAGGGAGAGAGTGAGAGACCTTGCGAGTGTGCCTCACGAAAGCTAGTCAAGCCAGTCAACCCCCCCCATCAACAATCCAGTCAATCCGTGAATCAGTGAAAATCGCCCTAAAAATGTGGATGATCAAGCAGATCGATCAGAACCAAATTTTGCAAAGCATGACTTGTGTATAACCAATGTTGTACTCTCCCAAGTTCAGGAAGCTGTCATCCATTAAATGCGCATTACACAAGCTAACTTTTGGGTTGTACTACTCAGGAACAGGAACCACTGATTCCTAATTTCATCAATTTTTGGAAGGCCAAACGGAAGGGGTTTGCTTTCACATAGGAACACACAGCATCTCAACAACATGGCGACAACACTACAATTTACTGAAGCCATGTCTTCTTTCTTTGCATTTGCATTATGCTAATGTTTCAAATTTGTGTCATGCGCTTAAAGGGTTAGTTCACCCAAAAATGAATATTCTGTCAGTAATTACTCACCCTCATGTTGTTCCAACCTTTAAGACTTTCATTCATCTTCGGAACACGAATTAAGATATTTTTGATTAAATCTGAGAGCTGGATCACTCCTCCATAGGCTTCTTAAGGGATCGAAACTGGCCGGCCCAAAAGTTATGAAAGACATCGTTAAAATAGTCCGAGTTTGTTAAAATAGTTTGTTTTTTGCACACAAAAAGTATTCTCGTCGCTTGATAAACTTAACATTGAGCCACTGTAGTCACTCGGACTATTTTAACGATGTCTTTCATAACTTTTGGGCCAACAACATGAGGGTGAGTAATTACTGACAGAATTTTCATTTGTGGGCGAACTAACCCTTTAAGTAAATAATATCGGGACTTTGATCAAGGCATTTTAGGCAAGTCTGGATCAATGTTCTCTTTTAGAATAAATCCCTTTTGTAGGAGAATATGAGCTTTTTGCAGATCTTATACATGCACAAACAGATACATTACACAATAACCAGTCAAACTGACAAATGATGAATTTTACAGATCCTGGTATCGCTGGAACACCACATCATACCACCACTGAGCACATCTGAAGAGCTCCAGTACATCCGGAGGCAACAGCCTCACTTCATAACTCACCAGACGAGAGAGGTCTCTGTGAAAGAAAGGAAATATTCATTCTGTAATGTTCACAACCTGCACTAAACGTGGAGGCAGAAGACAGAGAACCACTATTCTGCTTCTCATGGTCTAATGTTCAAAATGCTTGTAAATAGAGCTTCACTGCTAATTACTGAAGGGAAAAAAGCACTAATATGCAACGGCACATTGTTTAGATATGCAAACTTGCTGCAAAGAGCATGACAGACATGTTCCACATTTTCAGGAGAGCTTTTAATGTGCGTGAAACCTTATTTCACTTTCTGTGCAAAATCTCTGTGCCAATTTTGTTGGAAATGAAGGTTCAAATCTGACTTTGTGTATTGATAACGACGAATAAACTGCACAAAACAAAACACAAACTTTTAAAAAACACTGATATTTGTATACCTTGTTTACATATTGCTTTATTAGAAATTTGTGTCACTGTTGTGTAATTTAATGCGGAAGGTTCATTGACAGTTTGTCGCAAGGTCAAGACTGGAACTGCTGGCTCTAATACGTGCAGTTATTTTGAGACAACATTTAGTTGATTGGTCGGCACAGTTTACAGTTCTTAATATATTTTCGGCTTGCACCTAGTTTTTCTAGTGTTTCTGAATTTTTCTAAGGATTTCTGGCAGGGAAAACATTTTATATGCCTGGTGTGGAATATAAGCATTTCACACTATTTTTTTATGCAGCATTGTCCAAAGCATTTGAAGTGCCTTGAGTTTCACATTTTAGCTTTACTGTATGATTAATAATATTATCTAGATATTGTTTGGTTGTTCTTTGCTTTTTGAAAATTTGTATAACACTGTTGTATATTTCAATTTCACTGTTTGACTGTTATTAAAATGTGCACTTACATATGCCTCTTTTTTATATACTATTCAACACATATGCATTTGGGGGCATACAATTATGTCATAATTAGAAGATAGAAATCAAAATTATGAGATAAACAGCAATCAAACCAACAATAGAGCAACAACATGCAAGTGCTGTGACTATACTCCCAGTTTATCTAGCACAGTTAGAAAGTTTATATATATATATAGAGAGAGAGAATAGTAAGTATTAATGGGTCAAGTGTTGACGAAAAAGATATGTCTTCAGCCATTTCTTGAAAATGGGTAAAAACTCAGCAGCTTCGGTTGAATTAAGGCAGGTCATTCCACCAGCAGGGAACAGTCAAAGTAAAATTCTCTGAAAGTGATGTTGTGCCTCTTTGGGATGGCACCATAAGGCGCCGTTCACTTGCAGGACGATGCGAGCAGCAATTGGAAACCAGTGCAATTGTATGAGGAGAGGTGTGATGTGTGCTGTCTTCGGCTCATCAAAGACCACTCAGCATTATGGATCAGTTGCAGAGGTTTGACAGTCCATGCTGGAAGGCCTGCCAAGAGAGAATCACAATAGTCCAATCTGGATAGAACAAGAGCTTGGACAAGGAGTTGTGTAGCATGCTCTGATAGGAAGAGCCTGATCCTCCTAATGTTGTATAAGGCAAATCTGCAGGACCGGGCAGTTCTAGCAATGTGGTCTGTGAAGTTTAACTGATCATGAATCACAACTCCAAGGTTCCTGGCTGTCCTGGATGGAGTTTTGGGTTGGCCTGCATGGATCACAAGCAGTTCTGTCTTCGCAAGGTTGAGCTGAAGGTGGTGGTCCTTCATCTTGCAATAAATGTCTGTCAGGCAGGCCAAGATCCGAGCAGCTACCGTCGGATCATCTGGCTGGAATGAGAGGAAGAGAAGGGCATCCCAGGAACCACACTCCAATGTTTTCAGGTAGCTCCTTCAGGGTGTCATGGAAGGGTGAGGTGTCTAAGTCACAACATCTAGTTACTGGGGTGCCTCAGGGCTCAGTGCTTGGACCACTTCTCTTCTCCATCTACTTGTCATCACTAGGATCTGTCACTGACAAACATGTTTTTCCTATCACTGCTATGCTGATCATACGCTGAACTCTACCTCTCATTCCAGGCAGGCCAAGATCCGAGCAGCTACCGTCGGATCATCTGACTGGGATGAGAGGTAGAGTTCAGCGTATGATCAGCGTAGCAGTGATAGGAAAAACATGTTTGTCAGTGACAGATCCTAGTGATGACAAGTAGATGGAGAAGAGAAGTGGTCCAAGCACTGAGCCCTGAGGCACCCCAGTAGCTAGATGTTGTGACTTAGACACCTCACCCTTCCATGACACCCTGAAGGAGCTACCTGAGAACATTGGAGTGTGGTTCCTGCATGCCCTTCGTCATTAGGTTTGACAGGAGGATCTGGTGGTTAACTGTGTCAAAAGCAGCAGACAGATACAGCAAGATGAGTACTGAGGGTTTGGAAGCTGCTCTTGCCAGTCTCAGAGCTTCAATAACTGAGAGCAGGGCCGTCTCAGTTGAGTGGCCGCTTTTGAATCCATACTGGTTGTTGTCCAGGAGATTGTTCTGTGGAAGGTAGAGACTTGGTAGAACACAACTCGTTCAAGTGTTTTAGAAATGAATGGAAGAAGGGATACCATTCTGTAATGTTCTAAAAGTGCTGGGTTTAGAGTGGGTTTCTTAAGCAGTGGGGTTATCCGAGCCTGCTTAAATGCTGTGGTAAAGGTACCAGTGTGGGGTGTTGATGTTGATGATGTGAGTAAGTGCGGGTACAACTGAGGAAGAAATGGCTTGAAGGAGATGAGTAAGGATAGGATCAAGCAGACAGGTAGGAGGGTGATTGGAAAGGAAGAGTTTGGAGACTTCTGCCTCCGAGATCAGAGATAAGGTGGGGAGAATGTGTTTGCTGTTAAGATGTTTTTGAAATGATGTTGACCAAATTATAACATAAAAAGTCTAAATTAAGAGATAAAAAGTTATTACAGAATCACGACAGAAAAATCTTTTTTAAATAACTTTTGCCATAATTTTTGCTACTAAACAATGATCCTCCTTAGTTCCCTGAACTGCCGGCTCCGCCATGGTCCCCTGAACTATCGCCGCTTCCCGAGGACGCCCACCCTTCCACCCCATAGATGTATTACAGCGCGAGGACGCGTTACGGGTATCTTTTTTATTTATTTATTTCAATTAAAATAATTCATAACAATGGATAAATCATTTCTAATAAATACTGCAACATTCCATAAAAAATAAGAATTATCCATTTTGATTTCATGGTGACTTTAAATGACAGAACGACAGATGATAAAGTATAACTTTAGACTTATAAGCATAACGGCAATAGAGAGATTAAATGTTCTTAAGAATCAATATTGATTTCACAAGAAGCCATGCTTGCAATTGTAATAAAGAAAAAAATTGGTCTGTTTGTTCCACAAAGCTATCGTATGACTTCAGAAGGTGATGTGGAATATAGTGCATTGGTTGTATGGACCACTTTTATGGTACTTTCGAAGCTTGAAGATTCATCATTTTGTGTTCCACATAACAAAGAAAGTCAGAAGGGTTTGGAAAAACATGACGTAATAAATATTAGTCATTGTCCCTCAACTAGTCAATATAAAGGATTTAAGGCGTCAGTTAGAACATGCACTCCAGATTGAAGGCCTCCCTAAGGTGTATCGAAGGGAAGGGCTGTTATTTTATACACACCTGGACAGACCTGTTCTCTGTGCTCACTGATTGGTTCAATCATTCCATTCAGTCCTGCTTGTCTGGTTTTCAGCTATACTGTTATTCTTTTATTTCCCATCCCACAGTTTTATCCAGAGCATTGTGAGTCGTGCACACACCTGAACTCTACGGGACAATATGCTGACTGTGCTCTTCATCCTGGGGGCGTTGTGTCGCCTAAACTTTGCAGCAGGTAAAAATAATAACTTTTTATAGCTTCACATTACCACTACAAACTACTGTTGCTTAATATTTGGGTAACACTTTAGAATACGGTTCCTTCGTTAATGAATAACTACACAGGAACAAATGAGTAACACAATATTAACAATCTAGTAACTACTATTAACTAACAAGAAATTCTGATTAACAAATTAGTAAGTAACAGCGCACAGATGAAAGTGGTAGTTCACTATTAACTAATCAATAACTACTTTTTTTTAATGCTTCCCAGAGAACTACTGTAAGAATCATGATAACTAACTAGTAATTACCATGTTAGTTACCATGATCTTCACTTTAGAATACGGATCCAAATAATTAGTAATTCCTTTAGAAGTATGTAGTAACACTTGAGTCATTACTAGTTAATTACCATGATCTTCACTTTAGAATACGGATCCAAATAATTAGTAATTCCTTTAGAAGTATGTAGTAACACTTGAGTCATTACTAGTTAGTTATCATGATTCTTACATGAAAAGCCAATCCTAAAGTGTAGAATCTTCTAATCCTTCACAAGATATTTGCACACACGTATGAGGTAGGAGACATTAATAAAATCTTCTTTTTTTTTTTTTTTGAGGTATAGGTTAAATAATAAAATCACTGTATATGGTATTTGGATGGCCGATAACTCAATATGTTCCAGCCGTCACCGTGACTCTGGCCAATTTTCTGGCATTCCTCTGGACTGGCATTGAATCACTAGGACAAGTAAGGTCCCGACAACTGCATTTAAAAAGCCATTTCTTTAAAATTATCCAGTTGATAAATAGTTCTCTAGGAGAGAGCATAGGCTAATTATTTCCCAAATCATAAGTCTGCTATGCTATTACATATTGATAAACCTTGTGTATTTGTTTACAGCAGTTATTAATGTTAATGTAGTGCTAGTCATTTGTCCTGCATTAGTTATTGATTAGTTTTGCATGAACTATTAATCTTCTTCAGTAGTTCTCTGGGAATCATTAAAAAAAAGTAGTTATCAATTAGTTAATAGTGAACTACCACTTTCATCTGTGCGCTGTTATTTGCTAATTCGTTAATCAGAATTTCTTGTTAGTTAATAGTAGTTACTAGATTGTTAATATTGTGTTACTCATTTGTTCCTGTGTAGTTATTCATTAACGAAGGAACCGTATTCTAAAGTGTTACCAATATTTGTTGCCAGAAAGTATTTAAATACTTTTAGTAAGTGTTTATTCAACGGCTTTGATAATTATTTGCTTTTTAGACATCCCTATTAGAGTGCTGAGTCCTGAAACAGACGGGGTGCTGACGGGCAGATTCCCAAACTCTTTTCTACTGCAACTGCCTAACTGCTCTATTTATGGAGACAACCGCGCTGAAGTGGTGTACATAGAACTGGCCGGCACTGAAAGCAGTATGCATCACTTTCATCCTGAATTTGGTTCACATGCCATTGTCTAAAGAGTAAGCATTATGACTTGTGTGTCTTGCAGAATCAGAGCCTTTCATGGTTCCATCTTGTCCTGCCAGTCTGCCGGGGTTCCATCTGAAAGGCCTAAAAAGTGGAACAACTTACAAGTATGTGTGTGTGTGTGTGTGTGTGTGTGTGTGTGTGTGTGTGTGTGTGTGTGTGTGTGTGTGTGTGTGTGTGTGTGTGTGTGTGTGTGTGTGTGTGTGTGTGTGTGTGTGTGTGTGTGTGTGTGTAGGCTTGGCTCATATATATCAGCTTTTGCTTTATGTCAGCAGGCTTGTGTGCTTCAATAAATAATTTTTACAGTAAATAGTAAAATTGTATAAAACCCCACAAACTATAAAAAAATTGTTTGATGGTTTAACTTTAAGGAAACCTAGTTGCTTCATTAATTCTAAAATTCGAGTTAATACAAAAAGATTAGTTTAATCAATAGAAACTCAAAATATTATGTTATCTGAAAAAACAGAGATTCTAATTATTGGACCAAAAACTTCTGCACGTAATAACCTAGAATGCTGTCTAACACTTGATGGCTGCTCTGTCAAGTCTTCATCGTCGGTTAGGAACCTGGGTGTGCTCTTTGATACCAATCTTTCATTTGAAAGCCACGTTTAAAACTGCATTCTTCCATCTTAAAAATATATCTAAATTACGACATATGCTTTCAATGACAAATGTGAAACAGTTAGTTCTTGCGTTCATGACCTCAAGGCTAGTCCAACTAGTCTCTCCCCTGTGAAGGCCTCCTTCCCTTTACCTCTGTACAGATAAAACGTTGTCAAAATGATTCCAGTTTGCATGGATACACGGAAGCGACTAAAAATTCTGTATTATACAGGGAAGACAAGTAATTTGGTGAAGTCAATTTTTAAAGAAAGACTACGCGCCTACACAGATATTCAAACGGGCATACCTATAGACTAATATGCGTAATATACATTCAATAAGCATGTGCACGCCATCACCGTTTTCTCAGATTCACGTTTTTTAAGTTTACATAACGTTTTTCTACATTTTTTAAAACTTGCACCTTGGAACCTATTTCAAAAATTGCGTTCTTGAGCCACCAAACGCTTGTGCAAATGAACGGCCAGGACACAATAAAAGTTTTCTGTTTTCAGTTAACACAGTGTCGTGAAAGCGGCCTCTAAATTAATAACTAATGATCTTTGCAATGGAAGTGAATCAATCAAAACTTTAGCTGGACAATAACTTTATTCTAGAGCTGTAAAGCCAAAACAATCTCTGTTACTTTAATTCTATTATCACTGTAAAGCTGCTTTGAAACAATCTATATTGTTAAAAGCGCTTTAGAAATGAATGTGACTTGAACAATATAAGTGAATCTAAGTTGATTGATTTGACAAAAGAAAAAATTTGTGAAACCATGATTTATTTTATTTTTTTAACAGTTGAATGAAAACCATTGTATCCATTAGAGTTCCTCACTAAGGTCTAGGTCTCTCTCTCTCTCTCTCTCTCTCTCTCTCTCTCTCTCTCTCTCTCTCTCTCTCTCTCTCTCTCTCTCTCTCTCTCACACACACACACACACACACACACTCTCTGTGTACACTTATGAGGACAATATGTTCTCACAAATATGGCAATATCTGAAATTCTGAAAGAGGAGAGCAGCTTAAAAATCATAAGTGAAGTTTTTTGAAAATGTAAAAATGCAAATGTTTTCTGTGATGGGTAGGTTTATGAGTAGGGTTAGCGTAAAAGGATATAATATACAGTTTGTACAGCATACAAATCATTATGCCTTGGAATTTACCCATAAAAAATGAAAACCCAATGTGTGTCTGTGTATGACCATCACTCAGCAAATCAAATCTCATTATAAATGTCTTTATCTTTCAGCATGACGTACAAAATTGCAAATGATATCAGCACAGTCTTGACTGAAACGACTACCACCGGTAGGCCTAATAGACTTTCTGTGATTTGAAATAAGCTGCTTGTAATGAATTATAGACGTACCAATATCTTTTATCATAGCAAAAAATGTAATGAATGAATCCCCAGCTTATTGTGAGATGACTATGTAATCGGGTCTGTTTGTTTTTTCCAGTCACTGATTATCAACAGATAAACACTGGTCTCCCCGCGCGCAGTGGAGCCATGGTGGTCATCACCGTCATTCTGTCTTTGGCTATGGTGGCCCTCGTGGTTGGATTCATTATTAGTGTGTTCTTTTCAGGCTGAGCTCAATGTGATTCACTTCAATAAGACTTCATGAAATCTATTTAACTTCAGAAATAATTCAAACGCATTTTAGATACATTTAGAAAATGTCAGTCTAAATTAACAGTATACCTATTGTGTTGGATGTAAAAGGGAATTACACAAATGTACTATATAGGCTAATTATCAATAATTTCAAACTGAATGGTGTATTTTCAAATAAATTGTGTTCCTTAAATACATGGTTTTATGTTTGTAGGGTTTTTTGTTTTTGTTTATTTGTTTGTTTTCAGACATAAATGAGTTTCTTTAGCATAAGTGAAAACCAGAATTCAACTGAAAGGTTTAACTCTTTTCTCAAAATACACCTCTCTTGTCAAGGGGGGTGTATTTTTCAGAAATAGGTTAACCCATTCAGACCCTGCGTCCATTACAATAGACATCACATGTCAGCCCCCTTTTTTTTAACTTCTGGAGCATTTCACCTAGTTTAAAGCCTGCAGTCCATGAGATTGGACGTTTGTCATCCAATCAAATGGCAGTAAAGCTCTGCATGTAGTAATTATATAAAAAAACACTACATTGAAGAGAAGCATGGCAGCACTTCACTCCAAGCACAGAAGCAAGCAATATTTTATATGGTTTTATTTACATTTTTTATATATTTTTGCCAGTATTTCATAGTTTGTATGTAAAATAGAAAGATTGAACTTATTAATTAAAGTTAAAAATCGATTGTAGAATTGCACGTTTTAAATCAGGATTTTTTCAAATGTGTCTGTCCATTAGAATGGACAGTGGGTTCGAAAGCCTGTTACTGAAATCACATTTTCAGTTATGCTGGTTGAAATTTCTTATATAAAAAAAATCTATATCACAGTACCGATACATTTTTGAAACTTTTTCATATGCAGAATATACAGTTCTTGAAGTGCTTGAACATATAGCTGATGGAAATATCTCAGATGTTGACTTTATGTGGAGTGATGAGGAAGATGGAGATGTAAGAAAAATATCCGTATTTAAAACTTTATAAAGTAAAATAACTACCTTCCGGCCAAACCAACATACGGATTTGACTTAAATCTAAAGCGCGCAACTTGAATATGAATATTTTTCATATTTTATTTTATATTAATATTTTTTTATGGATAGATGCACTTTTATGATGGATAGATGCACTTTTATGATGGACAGATGCACTTTTATGATGGACAGATTCACTTTAATGGACTTTCAAAAGAGAAACAACCATTCACAGCCATTATAAAGCTTGGAAGAGCCAGGACATTTTTTAATATAACTCTGATTGTGTTCGAAAGAAGAATGTCATACACCTAGGATGGCTAGAGGGTGAGTAAATCATGGGCTAATTTTAATTTTTGGGTGAACTATCCCTTTAAAGGTATAGTTCACCCAAAAATTATATTTGTCATCATCACTTACTCACCCTCATGTTGTTCCAAACCTGTATGAGTTTCTTTATTCTGCTGAACACAAAATAAAATATTTTGAAGAATGTCGGTAACAAGACAGTTGACAGTAGCCATTGACTTCCATAGTATTTTCTTCCTACTATATATTTTCCGAATAACTATATTATATTATTATAATATAATATTATCATTATTAGTAACTATTTTGAAAATTACAATAATATTTAGCAGTAATGTATCAATATAGATATTACAGTACAATGCCGTATAATTAATTACAGCAGAAGCAGACCAAATTACGAAATACAGTAAAAATACTGAAAAGTACTCTATTTTGTATTTTACAGTACTGATCTTGTGCACTGTAAAGTGAATTAGACTACAGTTACTGGAAATCGAAATACAGTAACTTGCTGGCAACCGTGCTGCCAGTAATGTACTGCAAAAATACAAGAAAACCGTTAACAGAGAAATTGTTTCAAAGATGCACACAGGAAATGACTCTAACGTGAATGCATTGATTGATTCCTAGGTTTATTTTGTTATGAATAAACAAATGTGCGATCTATAAAGCAAAAACCTTAAAATTAAAGTTGCAATGTTATAATATTCAAGTTTTTGATCTAAAAAAAGAAAGATGCACACAGAAAATGACTTTAATATGACCATATTGATTGATTCAAAGATATTTAGTTTGTTACAAACAATGTGTAATCTGTAAAACAAAAACCTCAAAATTAAAGTTGAAATGGTATACTGCTGAACATTTTTTTGACCTTGAGAAAAAGCTTAAAGTATAGACCAACAAATTTTATGTTTATTCATTTATTTCATGTTGGCACATTTTTGGGAAGTACACCTGTTTTGACCTGACGTCCATTGGAATGGACAAAAAAAATTACAATGAAAGCCAATATTTTTTTTTTTTTTTTTCATTTGGTCTCATTTATAGAAGCCTCATGAGCTAGGAAAATGTACTTTTATATTTTTCAGAAACTTGAAACATAATTCAGGTCTGAAGGGGTTAAGGCAAGTTGCCACGTTTTATGTTTCGAGTTTTATAGCCTATAGCTCATTTATCACTTATATTGAGGAATCATTTTTTATTTATTTATTTTATTTTAGATAGGCCTCTATAGTATTTCAAATAATGACATTCCACTCAAATCAGTGTCAATAAATATAGCGAGGCATGTTGTCACAAAACGTGAACATGTGTTAAACTGTTTGAACTGTCGGATGATCTCTTCCTGGTCAACAAACCGAGTATGGAAATGTTTAACGCCGTTTTTAGTCATGCGCATAAAAGACAAACTGATTTTAGAATGACAATTGGCCCCAGTGATCAGTGAAATCTTATTGAACACTCTTGATTCCTAATAAGCTTAATGATTCCCACCTGACCTGTTATAATGAACGATATCGCCACAGGTGAAGTCTTAATTGATACAACGACACATTTATTCGAATGAAAAAAGATATTTACACACGTTTTGCTGGCTATTCTAACATAGTCGACAAAATGTATTTACAGCTTCAATCGAAAAGCAGAATTCTCGACCTTCATTTAACCAGCGGCTTACATGACTGGGACATGAACGAAGAAATAAAGTTAACGACGACGACTGATCAGTTTTACCACGGTAATATAATGTCAGGGAGTAATTCACTCGAGTCTGGGAAACAGGGCCGTTTTGTTGAGTAGGCCTATCACTAAAGTGTCGTGGTTTGGCAGATGACAAGCGGACTGACCAGTATCTGGCGCAGTGGCACTACGCCAGAATCTCCAGAAGATCATTACCAGTAACACCAGTAGCAGCTCACAGGAGTTTCCAGCTCCCGCTCAGCGCCAGAGGTGTGTGTTCATCCGTCACATCACCAATGATTAGCTTATAGCCTAATATAATCTCCCACTACACCATTTATAGGAACAAAACACAGATCTAACAGTCTATGCTTTTCCACAGAGGTTTATTTTTATTTATTTAAAATGTCATTTCAAGTTTATTTATTTTAAGTCTTATTTTATTTATTTCATATTTATTTTAAGTTTATGTATTTCAAATGTCATTTCAAGTTTATTTTATTACTTTTTTTTTCATGTTTATTTTTATAATATTTAATTCAATTTTTTAATTAAATTTGTGTTTGTTTTATGTAAAATTTAATTTCATGTTTATTTTCCAAATACAAAATTAATTCAAATATTATCTGGAAATTATTCTACTTGCACCTTGACAGGTGGCAGCCAACTTGGCAAGAAAAAGACATTGGTGTGCATCTTGAGACAAAGCAATGGCACTGACATATTTTAAGAAATGTCAGTGCGGGTTGCTTTAAATTACAGGGGTACGAATTCCAGATTATTCTGTAGAAGTGTTTGATTCTCTGAAAGAGGCTCCTTTCTGATTGGTTCCAAATTATGATAGACTTTCTGATTGCAATCTTGTGTATATTCCTTTTTAAGTTGTTGTTGTTTTTTTCAACTCTTCAACTTTCTTCAAAAGTCTGTGTCCACTGTGCCCTTCAAACATAATTGTTTCTGTCTTTTAAAGAGCCCGAAATACAACCTAATCTGTGGTTGATGGTGAATCCCAGTTTAGCCTGCCCCATAAAATACCCTAGCAATTACCCAAAAGTCCCAACACCCCCAAAACAAGCGCTGTCAACGACGTCAAGAACCACCACACCCCAGGAGAAAAATGTGCGTCGAGTGATCCTGCCTGATGAGACGTGCCTGAATGAGTCAATACACGATACCTCCCTCTCCAGCGAGTATCATGTACGAGTAAAACAGCATTACATGCTTTGTTTGCTATGTTAATGTACTGTCATTCAAACCTGACCGTTTCCACCTCGTCCCAGTTGACCGATGAAGATGACGCTTCCTCTGTAGACGTGCCTGTTTGTCGTAAGGTGAAGGGTGTTCGGAAGGGGAGGACTCCTAAAGCGTCCCCTCGCAAACTGGGTCTGACTCAGAACAGAAGGCTTCAGAGAGCACTGCAGGACAGCCTGAACCTGAAGAGCGGTGGATGGCCTCGGCCTCCTGTGAACTACTGCATCCTCATCGCCATGGCTCTCAGCAGCAGCCGACACGGCAGTCTCAACGTACAGCAGATCTATAACTTCACCAGGTGCCAATGCTAGTACATACAAGTATAGGGTTGAGGATTTGAACCAACTCCAAAAGTATATAGATGATATATAACATCTATATTGGGGTTGGTTATATCGGCCAGCAAATCAGTACGGCCGATATTTTTCCATTTTTAATATTTTTATCGGCCCAATAAGAAAATTGGGCTGATATCTTAAAGTCGATCGGTTCCTTCAGCCGAGACGCTTCAGATGCGCGCTGTTCGCCATGATGGTTTTGAAGCGCTTGAAATATGTTTGGAAAAGAAAATTACAGTTAAGTGCAACATGTGCAGTGCAAGTCTGTCTACAAAAAAAATTTCATGAGAATATTGTAATTGTGTGCTTGGGTCATGGCTTTTAATGATGAGACTTTTGTTTTTGTAATCAGGCTCTCAATAAATTACATAAAAATTTGGATTTAAATTTATCGGCCAATATATCGGTTATCGGCTTTCAAATATAAAGAATTATTGGTTATCAGTATCGACCAAAATTTTCATATTGGTGCATCCCTAACATTATTAAAAACCTGTCAAAAGTTTGAAAATATTACAATTGTGTTTGTCTTATGCTCACCAAGGCTGCATTTATTTAAGCAATAATAGAGTAAAACAATATTGTGAAATATTACAATTT